GGCCCCGAGAACCCCGAAATCCAAGATACTTTTGACTACTACCTGGGTTTTGATAGGTCTGTCCATCTCTTCTGAAGAAAGCTGGGGGGGGGGGGAATTCAAAGCTTCCGGGCACCTCACAGTGGCTTGGAGAATAACCAGAATCTGAACACAAGAAATAATGAGATACAGCGCCAGGGCAGGGATAAGGAGCTTTATGAAAAAAGAGGACCCCAAGAATTGACTAACTCATACCATAAAGTCCAGAAGATGAGGATGCAAATGGATTCTGAAGTTCTTGGCGGAGGAAATATTTTCAAACCACGCTATGTTTTTAACATGAGCACTGCCGTTTTTCTCTGCAGCTAAAACATACTTGCTCCTAGTAAGATGGACGTGGTTCATGTGGTTGAGCACCGCTTGTGGGGATGACTCAATAAAACTGCGCTTCCTGCTGGGGTCGGAGGATCCGTGAATGTCTCCAAGAAAGCTTCCTAATAAATGTAGTTCTGATGATTATAAAAGGCAATAGAGCTGGGCGCCGGTGGCTCACGCCTGTCATCCTAGCTACTCAGGAGGCTGAGATCTGAGGATCGCAGTTTGAAGCCAGACAGACAGGAAAGTCCATGAGACACTGATCTCTAAACATGCACCAAAAACAAAACCCAAAAACAAAAAAACCCAAAAACACAGAAGTAGAGCTATGGTTCAAGTGGTAGAGAGCCAGCCTTGAGCAAAAGAAGCTAAGCGATAACACTTAAGCCCCGAGTTCACATCTCAGTACTGACGCAAAAGTCCCAGCACTTCAAGGATGGTACACTTCCTTTTGTGCCCTTTTATATTTCTCTGAAGCCTTGAATACAGCTGTCTCATTTAATCTCTCTCCTTCTCTCTCTCCTTCTCTTTCCTTCTCTCTCCCTCTCTCTCCTTCTCTCTCTTCCTCTCTTTCTCTGTCTCTCTCCTCCACTCCTAGCCAGTACCTTTATCTCTCTCTTGACTGATAATTATCCACTGCACTCCAGCCAACCACGTTATTTCTGTCCCACCCTTTATGTGGGTCAGTGTAACAGTGTTCCACCAGTTTCCTTGTTCACATACTGGCTCTTCTCTCATTCCGTCTTCTTAGGGCTTCCAGAAGGCTCTTTTGCCAGCAGAATGCTAATGAGGCTCTCCCCTGGTTAAGATTCTTCAGCCGCTCAGCACTGCCCAAGTCCAGGTTCCGGAACGGGATTTCCCAGCGGTGCAGCTGGCAGAGCGTTCTCAGGACCCATCTGTTCATCCATCCTTTCTCATTCCCACCTTCTTCTTCCAGTTTAAAACACAGAGTTTCCCTCAAGCGTGTCTGGGAACGTCAGAAGCAAACAGGGTGTTTGCAGGCTGCACAGAAACATCCAAAGGCGAGCAGCTCCACCTGGTGGCTGGTTGGCATTGGAGTGGAGGGAAAGAGAGGAGAGGAGGGTGACAGTCTCTGTGGTCCTCAAGGCCCCCTGCAGGTTGGCAAGCAGATCCCCTCCCTCCACGCTGGCTGCCTGTGGGAGAGAATGCACAGCTGGTTTTTCAGAAGGATGGTGGTGTTGGTTGTTACCATCTCAAACTTCTATTTTGTAAACCACGAAGGCATTTGTTTTACATATAAACCCAAAGGTGGGTTTATATATAACGGGGCACCCGTGGCTCATGACTTGTGATCCTAGCTACTCAGGAGGCTGAGATCTGAGGATCACGGTTCAAAGCCAGCCTGGGGAAGAAAAGACCCTGACACACTCTTCTCTCACTAAAAAGTTGAAAGTGGAACTGTGGCGCAGAGTGGTAGAGCCCTAGCTTTGAGCAAAAGACAGCTTGGGGACAGCGCCCAGACCCCTGAGTCCAAGTCCCATTACTGAAAATAATAATAATAATAGCATAATAATAACCTACCCCATCATACTAGGCCTGTAGCCTAAAATCACCTCCCCAATGGCCAGAGATGAGCAACTGGAGCTCACGGGCCATCTCACGAGCTGTGGGTCTCCAGACTGGGTTGCTGGCCTGCGAGTGTCGGCCACCGACCTGAACCAGCGGGGGACAAAGCGGATCTACCCTGGGGGACGCCCTTAACCGATCGCCAGGCCAAATGTGGGGACAGGGCGTAAGCAACCAGCTCCGAGCCAGGAAGGGGCAGAGGGAAGATCAGAACCCGCGTCTTCGGCACGGCAGTGTCGGCCAAGCCTCTGCACCCGGGTAAAATGAGTCCTCATCTGGCCCCGCCCCTCCTCCGGGCCCCGCCCCTCCCCGGGGCCCCGCCCCGCCTCCGGGCCCCGCCTTCCCCTGGCTCCACCCCGCGGCATTTGGCCTATACCGGCGGACTCCTGGCCCCGCCCCTTCACCTGCCCCCACCCCTCCACCTGGCCCCGCCCCTCCACCTGGCCCCGCCCCACGTCGTGATGCAGGCCTGGAGGACTCCTGGATAGGCCCCGCCCCTCCACCTGGCTCCGCCCTTACGTCCCCACGCTGGCCACGCCTCTCATCCCCGCGGCCTCCCGAGCTTCCACGTACGCACTCCGACGACTCGTCCCCCTCCCCACTCCGGGAAGTCCACATCCGGGTGACTGGAGCAGGTGCCCGCAGGCCCCGCCCCTTCCGCGCCAGCGCTCGCCCTCACTTCCGTCCGCTCCTCCTCGGCTCCGCGGTCGCTGCTGCCCGGGCGCAGGCCTCGGGGCGGCCCTGTCCGCAGGCTCGGG